TGCAAATTTGAATTGGTAAATCATAATTTGCTCGATTTCGATTCACGGGTGCATATTATTATAAATTTCATAAGATTTATCGGTATCGCATCGTATCGTTTTACTTTCCCTCGTTTTTTTTATGGTATCTCTGTATATTTATTGTTATATCGATTCTGCTTCATTCTTGGCATCTTTACCATTGTGAATAATTCAATTAAAGGCCAGAGGGACGCGTACTAAGAAGCACACATATATTTAACTTTACTAGGGAGAGAATCTATCAAATACAAAAACCCCAGAAGCGAGGAGAATGTTATTTTCTGTTTGCGTCCGCGTGACACTAGTTTATATCTTAAAAGAAGAAGAAAGAAAAAAAGGTTTAATTCATTTAGGGTCAGTGTCGGATGCACAATTGTATAATAGGTCATTTGCGATTGAATTCGTTGTTTGAGAAAACGTTTTTGTACGATGTTTTGTGATATTAATTATTTATTATTTTGTACGTTTCATATTTATTACGATAATTTATTTAACTTTCCGAAACAATAAACAGAGATGTTGCTTTATATTGTAAATTATGTATTTATATTTTGTGCGATTCGTATGAACGTATGGTGTGATTTTTTTAATTCTGTTATTTGTTAAGTTTATTATTATTATTATTATTTTTATTACCGTTGTTGTTATTATTATTATTATTACTACTATTATTACAAATAGTTTGTGTTGTGCACTGTGAAGTGCAAGAAAGATGGTGGATGTAACTGCAAATGAATCAATTGTACGCTGAAGCAAATCAATGAGTTGAAAGGAACACGTTAAGAGGTGGCTCTTATTGCAGTCATATTTTTAGGGAATTAGTACAATGAAGTGGCTGTTTTGCCTGTACAGGTTTAGCGTTGTTAAAGAGGAAATGTACAAACGTAAACTGATAGTGGTTCAGAGTACAAAAAGAGAGGGAAACGAAGAATGTGAAATTGCACTAAATGATTAATGCTGGTACGATAATTCTAGCACTGAGTTGTGTATACGTAACAGTGAAACTATAAATTTGTTAATATGTAAAGTAAATTGGTGAACTCTACTAATGGACAGATTGTTTCAGTTGAGAACGAAGTTTATTTATTTTTTTAGTACACACACACACAAACACACACACATACATACACACACACACACAAAATTCCTAATAGTTTCCAGCAAAAATCAAAAATGATATTAACAGCGAAGCGCAAGAGGATTTACACGATGGCTAATAGGAATATCATCGATTTTATTAATTTATGGTTTTTTATGTGTAATGTAATATGTATACTAATGAATAATTATTAGAAAACTTGTTTTTATGATGAAAGTGACCAAAATATATTATATTCCAATCCATCACTCAGAACAGTTATCTCCAATCAAAAAAATGTTTTTCTCTCATTCTATATTTTATTGTAAACATTAAAATTGATATATTTATAAAAGTTGTTTCCTATTGTAATTGTTCTTTCATGCACAAATGTGTTCACGTGTATAATTCAATGATATATTTTCCGTTTCTATTCTTATGTGAATATTGAAATGATAATCAAGATGAATATTTACTTTTTTTTGAGGAAATGTATATATATATCTAGAAATGTGCTCAACATTTCTGGCTAATAAATAATACTTAACATATGACTTCATGTTAAAGTAACTCATTTTCAAATGCTTCTTTAATATGGCCTTGAACTTTAGACAATCGTATATCGTGTATAATAAATATGAAAATCACCGTGTTCATTATAATTATTTATCACGTACTACAAGGATAGTAAATTATACCGAACATTAAAAAAAACGGTAATTGTTGAAAGTTATTTCAAATACAAATTGTAATAAAGTTCTATTTTAATACCAATCGCTCGAATGATGGAAACTCGGGAATTTTTAAGCTAATTAAAATTTGCTGATTAAAATCCTATAATAACGATCTTAATTAATTTAAAATTAAAAATCATTGAATGATAATTTTAGTGATTATTATTAAAAATATTTTGAGAATTATACAGTATCGATTACTCTTTCGAAATGGATAATTTTTGGGGCGCTATTTATAAATCATGGTAAACCGTGAAACATTTCCATTATAATTTCGTGTATGTAACTTACATGTATAATTAAGGCAACAGTTCCT